AGGGTCTTTTCCAGTGAGTCACCTCTTTGCATCAGGTGGCCAAAGTATTGGAGTTTCAGCTTCAGCATCAGTCCTTCCAATGAATATTCAGGGTTGATTTCCTTTAGGATTGACTGATTTGATTCCCTGGCAGTTCAAGGGACTCTCAAGAGTCTTCTCCAGTACCACAGTTCAAAAGCATCAATTTTGTGGGCTTTATGGGCACTCCTGAATGGAGATCGCCAAATGGCTACAGCCTCTTGGGGAGGAAGAAACAGGAAACCCAGAGTCCTTCTTCCTCATGCATTCCCACGCTGCCACCAGTGAGGGCAGGACACTGTCCCCGCCTCCCATAGCCTCTGTCCTGCCAGCCCCAGCCCTGCCCAGCTCCTTTGTACTCCCAGAGCTGAAATGATGACTCATCGGTGACCTTGATCCCTGCTGCTCCCCAAGAAGGGCCATCACTGCCTCCCGGCCCCTCCCTTGGGAACCAAAGCTGACAAAGCCATCTCTTGCCACAGCCTTGCCCTAGGTGGGGCCCACCTGACCAGGAGTTCCATTCTGGGGGAGCTTGACCAAAAATGCAAGGCCTGATTGAATGTATCCAACACTGAGATCAGAAACTTAATGATGGCTAATACTGCCTGTAAAGTACATTCAGTTCATTCTGAATTCATTCAGTACAGCGGTATGGGAAGCCTACTATAAGGCAGGCACTCTTTAGGTCTAGAAATGGAGCAGTGAATACAAACCCTTGTTCTCAGGGAATTTACATCCTGGGAGAGCAGGCAGCCAGTTAGATACCCCCAAGCCAAGTAAAGTGTGTGTGTGGAGGGGTGGGCTACTGCCAATACTTGTGTATTTGCATGGTCAATCAGGAATACCTGTAGATGAACAAGTTGAGCTTATTGTTGCAGTGAGGGAGCCCACATACCATGGGAGAACTGAGGGCATCTCAGCCCAAGGGTGTTACGAGGAACCTAGCGTAGGATTTTGGCTTTGGCTGGGTAGTTTGGGAGAGAGCCCAGGGAGGTGGGGGCATTGATTTGGATGGTGTGCTGTCAGAAAGCAGTGATGAGTCCATGATGGTGTATCTTAGTAAGCCTCATCTAAAAGAAAGGAGACCAGGTGGAGGCCAAAGCTGCAAGTTATAAAGAAACAGAGGTCACTCCTATTAACCAGGAGACACAGACTTGAGTATTTTGGGGCTGGGATGGTGCTCATGTTTTGCAGTGTTCAGATGTGATTATGGCCTTGTTTTTGTCTTGACCCAGTGTGGTCACAGAGAGACCTTGTCTGATGGTGATGTTCTGCCAAATTATTTACATTCAACTGGAAAACAGCAAAGCCTAGCTGTGCATGCAGGGCCAGCTCCCTGGGGTCATGGCTGCTTGTCCGTCAAGCTCTCTCTCACTTATTCGCTCTACCTTGTCCAACTCTTTGCAACCCCATGGACTGTAGCTCACCAGGCTCCTCTGTCCGAGGGATTTCCCAGACAGGAATACTAGAATGGGTTGCCATTCCCTTCTCCAGAGGATCTTCTCCACCCAGAGATCAAACCCAGGTCTCCTGCATTGCAGGTGGATTCTTTACCATCTAAGCCACAGAGGAGCCCATATCTGCTAGTATACCTGTTTAAAAAGATAAATAAATAAAAAGACCCCTCCAGCTGCTGTGTTGAGAATGGACTCTAGGGAGCAGAGATGGAAGATGCTTTGGGGGACTGCTGAGATGGCTCAGGGGAGGAGAGATGATGGTGGTTTGGATAAACTTGGCAGAAAAAGTGGTAGGAAAAGCTCAGATTGGACACAGATTTAGAGGTGGGGTAAAACAGAATGGTGCCAAGATTTTTCATTCAAGCAAAAGATTGAATTGTCCTTTCCTGCGATGGGGAAGCCCCCTGAAGGAGCAAAATGTCTTTTGCAAGGTAATGGATCAGGAGCTCCCAGGGCGGGGAGGTGGGGAGGTGCCAAGTTGAGGTGTCACTAGAATCCAAGCCCAGCCACTGAGTAAGCAGATGTACCTGTGGGCCTGAAGTTCCTGGAGAAGTTTGGTGGGATGACAGATTCGAGAGCTGGCAATGTTTATGTGAATATAAGGCAGGGCCCTGGATGAAATCACAGAGATCTGAGCCCAGATGGGGAAGAGGTTTTGTCTGTCTTCACTCACTTCCCAAGCACTCCAATATTTGGACATCTGGGAAGTGAGGAGCAATCACCAGAGGAGACTATCACCAGAGGGAAAGTAACATCCACTGAGGTAGAAGAACCAAGAGTTTAGTAATCTATTCACAAATATGTATTGAATTCTGCACCAGAATTTCTAAGACTTTAGATTTTGAACTACTGGAATACTGGACAGGTGGCATTGCCAGGCTGGGGAAAAAAGTGTGAGCCAAAACTGTTGGCTGACACCAAGAATCTGTTCCCTTTTTCTTGATAAAAGAACCATGACTCTGTTTGGAGAGGCAGTGTACCTATATAAGTATCTGCATAAAATGTAAATGGAAGTGTCATGTGGGACTTTTGCAGCCTGCTTCAATGGAGCTAATGTGGTTGGGAGGCACACACCTGCTCTTCTACTCTCATTCCTTCCTGCTGTCTGAAAGATGGATGTGACAGTTGGCACTCCAGCAGCCATCTTGAATCACGAGGGCTCAGCAAATGGAAACCAAGCATTAAGGATGGCAGAATGGAAGTACAGGAGCCCATAATCCTCCTAACTGTGGAGTTGCCAACAAGTCATAGATCCCTTAACTTTAGATTAAGTTAAGAAAGAAACAAACTTCTGTTTAAAATTCACAGTTATTTTAGGTTTTCTGTTATACTGTAGCAAAATTCAATTCTGACATGAGATTTATTCACAGTATTTCCAAACTATGTGGGCAACTTGTGTGAGGAACCAAGTTGTCTACAGAGTTTGTCATGGTCCCTGATCTCCCAGGGCTCGCTGTGCAGTCAAGGGCTCACCGGTGCACCACTGGCACTTGGGTCATAACAGCATTGGCTGGTAGGGGCTGTGATGGTGGGTGTGCTCCGGGGTCTACAGTGAGGACTGAGACAGATGGCAAAGCAAGTTTCATCTTCTCAGTTCCTTTCAAATCATATCTAAATGCAATGACTCAACACGTGTTCTTGGTCTGATTTTTGTTCCATTGCCTACATTTAATTTTAATTTATTCCAGTACCTAATTTAAGCTTGGAGTTGAGGAGGGGGAAAAAATGATAATGTGGACCAGATTTTAGATGGTTGGCACTTATAATTTCAGAGAACCTCGATGGAATAATAAGTAATGGTTATGAACTTGCTAAGAATCAATTTGGTATGTGGAGCTTCATCCAACTGACAATTATATAAAGACGCAAGCTCTAGAAAATTGGCAGGAGGCTAAAACTACAAATGTGATCTGTGTCATTTCTTCAATGGACCAGTTATTTTGATGCCTCTTTTTCCCCTCGGAAGGCACCTTAACACACACTTGGCTAACTTCTTACCTCTGGCCAAGAATGCTCTTGACTATCAGAACTTTTGTCAGATCTAGGCCCAGTGGAGACATAAATCTATTACATGTGTAGGCTGTAAGTGCTCAGTCGCGTCTGACTCTTCTGACCCCATGGCCTGTAGTTCGCCAGGCTTCTCTGTCCATAGGATTCTCCAGGAAAAATACTGGAGTGGGTTGCCATTTCCTCCTCCAGGGGGTTTTCCCTACCCAGGGATAGAACCCGAGTCTCCCTTGTCTCCTGCATTGGCAGCTGGATTCTTTACCACTGCACCACGTGGGAAGCTGAAATCTATGATATACTGAGCACCTACTAGGTACCAGGCCCACTGCACGTGTTCTCTCATCTGTTTACAATAACCCTGCAAAATAGGTTCTAGAATCTTCCTTTCACCAATAAGAACCATCACTCAGAAAGCCTGAGCACTCTGTCTCTAGTCCTCAGCAACTCTTGAGAGAGCTGGATTTCAAGCCCTTTGCTCTACACCATAAGGCTTCTTTCCCACAATGCCTTGTGTCTCCCCCTGTCCTCTAACAGTTTTTGAAGCCTGGAATCTCTTCTGTTCAATCTAAATGGCTTTCTCCCCTTGGGGTCTCCTTCCCAGGGTCCACCAGTCACAATCCCAACCCTCACCCAAATCTTTTGTGCAATCTCCTTCCCTCGCCAGAAACTTCCTTGTGCTTCCCGTCTGTGTGAAGTCTGCTTCCTGGGAATTCTCCCCACCCCATGCGTGGCTCTTGCAACGCATCCTTTTCTGTACTTCACCGGGGCTTTTTGTTTCCTTAAGTGACATAGCTGAATGATCCATTTTCAGTGGGAGGGAGGAAGGATAGGACATTTTTTTGTGCACTTAATTTTGTTATAGGAGTTTGTTTCTTTTGATTCCTCAAATAACCCTATGAGGGCTTTTTAACCCGCCACTTGACAGATGAAGAAGTTGGATACACAGCCACCTAAAGTGGTGCAAACCCAGGAAGCAAGAAGGAGAAATTAAAATCCGCCCCCCGCCCGCCCGAGCCTAGCTCATTGCTCAGGCATCCAGCAAATGTTTGTGGAGTGAATTAATGAACGGATGAATGAATGAATGCCTGCCGGTCAGCTTACAAAAGGAACTCGGTGAGAAATGACACCGGAGGAGATCTGAAGTACCCTGAAAAATACAGATTCCAAGTACAGATGGGGTTCAGCGCTGAAGAAAATCTCAAACACTGAGGCAAGCTCAGAATAAAAGAGAAACGTTTGTTTAACACTTTAATGACAAAAAGTATGTCTTCGAAGAGCAGGCAGAGAAGAGGTATTCGCAGTCCACAAAGCTCGCTCCTTAGGAGAGCCCCAGAACACCCGTCGGGTTTTGTTCACCAACTTCGGCCGGTCGCGGGGGCGGCCCGGCGCCTGCCCCTTTAAGAATCTGGTCGAAGTCCTTTTCCTCCGCCTGCCCCGCCCCCTCGCGGAGCCGGCGCGTCCCGGCGCCCACCCCTTTCTCTCCCGGAGGGCTTAGCTACGGGCTCGACTGCCCATCCGTCACAGAGGCGCCGCCTCTGATTGGCTGCAGGTCGGGAGGCGGGGCGGGAAGGCCGGAGAAACTAGTTTGTTGGCGGCGCCGGGGCTGAACCGCAAAGCGGCGGCGCGCTCCGCGGCGTTCGCGAACCGGGGGAGGGGAGCGGCAGCGGCGAGGGCTGAGGGACCTCGCGCGCGCGCGGCCAGTGGGGCGGCCTCTGAGCGCGGCGGGCGGAGCAGCACGGAGCGGTAAGTACCGGGACCGGGCTGGAGACGAGAGTCGGTCTAGCAGCACTCGCGGCCCCGGCGTTGGCACTTGTCACCACCCACCCCGCCCCGCGGCCGGGACCTGGGGCGCCGGGTCCTGCGCGCCCCGCCGTGTGAGCAATCCCCGGGCAGACCGAGCCTCGCGGGCCCGCCTGCCCAGGGAGCAGCGCCCCGGGGCTCGAGCCCCCGGAATCCCCTCGTGCACCACGGGGTCTCGGGGCCGGGGTGGGGGGCTGGAGTCGGGGACAATGGTGGGGAGTGGAGGTCTGGAGAGAAGCACCCCTCCCAGCTCCGCTCCTCCGGCCTTGTGCGTGCCTGGGGACCCGGCGAGGGTATTTGTTTGAAAGCTCTGAGCGACGGAATGAATTGTTTTGCAAATAGGATGTTGCGCGCGGGAGCTGCAACTCTTCCCCCCCCCCCCCCCCCCCCCCGGGAGTACTTGATTCATTGAGTCCGCAGACTCTCTTTTTAAAAAATTACTATCGATCCTGAAAAGAGGAGGCTGCCTGTCTTTGAGGATGTGAGCGGCCCGGGCTCTGCGAGTTAGTCCCCGCGCACTTGACGCCGAGGGGCCAGATGGCTGCATGCCTCGCGCAGAGAGAGAGCCGAGGGGCTTCCTCACGGGAAACATCGTCCACGCGAGCCGGGCCCCGCTTGCGTCCCACCTGACGGGGCCCCTCGTCCTGTGCTGGAGCTTGGAGCCGCCGAGGAGTGGGCACCCGCCCGAAGTCCCACCCCCCGGGGTGGCCGCCACCCTAGTGGGTGCAGAGCGAGCCTCCTTTGGCCCGGCTGTCCGGTTCACCCCACTCTGCCCGGGCTCCGGGACCCCGCTGCACCTGGGCACGCCCTCACTCCTTTTCCCCCTTGTGGTTGCTTGAAGGATCTTCGGGTTGGGAGGCCGTACCCCTCAGGGACACCGTACACTTCTGCGCTGGTACACAAAGCTGCCCCCGCCAAATTGATTTGCGCTCTCTTTGAGCAGAGGAATCTTTATAGAGACCTTAACAAAGGGGTTGGGGTGGGGACCCACCCGGGACCCCCGCAGGTTTAGTGCTGCGGCTCTTGGTCCTGCTGGGTTGCTTTGGGGCTGGGGCAAGTCTCCCTGAGCTTTGGCCCTCCCTGCTGACTCAGGGCGGAGAAGGCCAGGTGTCTGGGCCTTTTGGTTTCACTCTGGCGGCATGCTGGAGGGAGGGAAGTTGCCAGTGGCCCTGGGAGAGGAGGCGGGAACCCCAGCGGCATGTCATGGGCCAGACTCTGGTGACTGTGACTTGAGGTCAAGCCTTTTGGCACCCAGGGCCTCAATCGCCCCATTCACAGGTGGGTCTGATGCTCCTTGAGCCCAGGTGCTGTTCTGATTGCTCCCGGGTGTTGCTAAAGGCTTGCATTTGAGGACTGGGAGGAGCAGGACCCAAGGCCCACCCCACCCAGGGGGCAGGTTTGGTATTCTTAACGTGGGGGCCTCGAATCCCTAAGACCTGCCTTTGAGGATGACGAGTCCGTCTTCTTACAGGCCGGGCAGCTGTCTCCGCCTTGAGTCATTCCCTTTGTCAGGAAGTGACTCCGCGGAGGTTGTTAAAAGGAAGGTAGTTAATGGTAGAGACCTTGGTCCTGGGGCTGCAACCGGTTTTATGTTTGCGGTGCCCAGAGAGGAGCTGGGGGCGAGTTGCACCCTCCCCCTCGGAGGCGGTCTTTGCAGCCTGATGCCCCTTGATAGCATCTTGGACCTGCGGGCGCTCCGTGTGGGAGAGGAGAGCAGGAAGAGAGACCACATTACCCGGGCCTCGGACTTCCTGGGCTGCAGGGAAAGAAGGCTTGGCTGTTTCCATCTCTCACTGTCCTGGGCTAGGGGAGTCAGAGGGAGTGTCCTTTAGCGGGTGGTGTGTTCATTCGTGCATTAATTGATGAATCGCTTCATGGTTTGAAGGGGCTTGATTGGGCTCATGCCTTCCAGGAGCCCCCCTGGACCAGGATGTGCTGCCACGTGGGGTTAGGAGGTGCCCACGGTACCCCCAGTGACAGAGACAGCGAGGGGATCGAAGAGGGGCACAGGAGGGGAGCACGGGTGGCGAAGGCTTCCTGGAGAGAGGATGCTCTGATAGAGTAAAGATGAGAAAGGCACGTCCGGCGCTACCGCCTCCCCCCCACCCATTCATGCTTCTCCCAGAGGCCGCTTCATTGCCAGCCTCCAGGCTGGTGCCGGTTGAGGGCAGAGAGCAGGAGGTGGCAGGCAATGAAAGGTTCACCTGGGACTGTGGTGGTCTGGCCCAGGAGACCCCCAGGAAGAAGGGGGGAGGCGCTCCTGGATGCAGCCTCTCTGCTCGGGGAATCCTGGGAGGTCCCACCCCATGAACCCCAAGACCAGCCCGTCCCCTAAGCCTTCAGTCACTCTGGACGGACCAGCTCTCAGTGTGGGTGTGGCCCGTGAAAGGAGGCGGCCAGCAGATCTGGCGCGAGAAAACAGGGTGACCAGACACAAATGAATTGGCTGATTGAGATGCTGGTTTTCATCTAATGTGGTAAATTTCATAATTGAATTGCCTTAGGCAGCCCAGGCGGTTGAAGCGTTTTCCCAGCCAGAAAACACTTAGTTTCCCCAGACATCTGGAGGGCGGGGGGTGGCAATGGGGAGAGTGTGTGTGTCCGCAGCTTTTTACACCCCCTCCCAGCAAGCCTTTCCCTTAGCAACCTGGGTCTGCCCGAACTGATGGAGTCAGTCCCGCCTGCCCAGCAGATTCCAGTCCCTCTCCTGGACCCCCTGGCCCCTGAGTCACACTCCTCCCAGCCCGATCGGAAGGCGGCTGAAGCTGATGCCTGTCACCTTCAGGTGCTCACCTTGCCATCCAGACTCTGGGTCCCTCAGCCATTCATTAGGAGCAGGGAAGCGGGTGTGTGGGGCTGGAGGTCAGAGAGGGACTCGGGGCTGGGAGGGCTCCCTGTTACGAAGTCTCTGCAGCACCAGGTTGGGGAGGAGGGAGAGGAGCAGGGGCTCTTTGAACCAGACTTGGGTTCACATGAGGCTTCTGTGTCTGTGTCAGCCTTCTCCTGGGGCCCCGGCCACCTGCATCCACCCTGCCCCCTCCCTTTAGTGCCAGGAGACTCTGTTCTTTCTTACTGGTAAACCTTTCCTTCCCAGCCCTCTCACTACCCTTTTGGATGAAAAATGGTAGGCGTGTGTGGCTCATCAACCTGTTTTTAGAAGTGCCAGCTCTGTGGTCTCAGAAACCCAGTTAAGCTGGGAAATTTCCCTACATTTTCTGCAAATACGCAACCATCTCCCAAGCCGTTCCTTTCCCCACAATCGTCTCCTGTACCCCTGGGCTGGACAGAGTTTAGAAGAGGGTCTCTGGGCCCACCTTGTTTCGGTGTGACCGAGGCCAAGTCCAAGGCCACCTCTTCACTGGCCATCTCGCGGTTGGAACCCTCGCACCTGGAAGGTGTCGGCAGATAGAGCCCTGACGGTGGGGTCCTGCCCCACCTCTGCTTGGCTATGTGACTTCCCATAGGTCTGCTTACCTCTCTGGGCCTTGATTTGCTCTTCTGCAATTCGGGTGGATGCTCTCCTGTACAGTGCTTCTATTAAATGTCTTGCTGTTAAATCTCAAGAAAGATTTTTGGTATCATGTCGTTTTATAAGGCGTGAGTTATTTGCATAGCTCTCCTGGGCAGGAGCAGGGGAGGGGCAGCCGGTAAAGTGGAAGGAGCTGAATTAGAAGGCAGGAGCCTGGCATCCTGGTTCCCAGCTCTGCCTCTGACGACAGGTGCTGGGCCTTTGGGCAGGTCACCTTCCTTCTCTCTGCCCTCAAATTTTCCACCTGTAGAGTGAAAGGCGGGTAGTAGGCAAGCGTCCCACTTCCTTTTCTTTCTGGGTGAGTGAAAACCGCGTCAGACTTTCCCAGTAACTCCAGAGGGACAGGGCTGTCCCCTGCCTCTGGCCCCTTGGAGTTCGGGGCCCCGGGGTGAAGGGCAGCAGGTGTGGGAGCACTGAAGTTGGTCCCTCCACTCTGGAACAGATAGAGTGAGACCTCGCCTGGGAATGCCGAGGGGACACCTCGCAAAGGAAAGAGGGACAGAGAGGTTCCAGGATCCAAGTGGGATCACCAGGGAGTCCAGGGGCACAGAGGAGGACACCGGGCTCCCCGCACTTTGCCAAGGAGGAGCCTGCAAGACCAGTCTGATGGCTCCACGTGTGAGGAGGCGGGCGGCGGGGGGCCGAGCAGGGCCGTGGGAGAACTGTCAGACGCCGCCAGAGGGAGGCCCGCACTGGCTACGGCGCGGCTCCCCACCCACTTCTGTCTGCCGGGAAGGCACCTCCTGTCGGGAAGGCGACTGTCAGCCGCCCCTCAGAGTAGGATGCAAGGGATCCTGGAAGCCTGGCTGGTTTTCCGCCTACTCCTTGAAGGAGAGGCTGACCACAGATCAGCGTAGGCTCCCCAGAATTTATCTAGTTAAGATAAGGGAGGCTCAGCTCCTCAAACTCCAGGACAAGCTGCCTGCCGGGTTTGCAGTTGGCCAGGTCAGATACGTCTGCTTCGTCTGGGCTGGGGTGAGGGCCGAGAGACGGGGGAGCTTTTTTCCTCGAAAGCCATGGGGATCGCATCCTCCATCCAGTGTTCAAGTCCTGCTGTGTCCCATCGGGGCTTGCGAGATCCCGGGCAAACGAGATCCCCTTAACCCACGAGTGAGCGCCTGTGTTGTTCGCAGCTTTGGAAATCCGAGGAAGCGAGAGGTCCAGCTCCATTCAGGCAGCGAACATGTATTTAGCATCTTCTGAATGGCTCACCCCGGACTAGAAACTGGGAAGGGTAAGTCAGGTTCAAAGAGGGTTGTGCTTGGAATTCCGCTCAGCCTCTGGCTTGGGAGACGGACAGCTAGCTGGGTGGTTATGGCTCAGAGCTAGGCTGTGAGTGACGTGACCGGAGCCACAGGACGCGTGAGGAAATGGACTGTCATTGGTGGCCTGATTCTTTGTGTGGCCGAGGAATTTTTGAAATTTTGTTTATTTTTGGCTGTGCTGGGACTTTGCTGCTGCACACAGGCTCTCTCTAGTTACAGAGAGCGGGGGCGACTCTAGTTGCGGTGCTCAGCTTGTTGCTCTGGTAGCTTCTGTGCAGGGCATGGGCTCTCGGTGCACGGGCTCAGTAGTTGGGACTCTCAGGCTCAGTTGCTCCATGGCATGTGGGATCTTCCCCGACCGGGGATCAAACCTGTGTCCCCTTCATTAGCAGGCCGATTCTTAACCACCAGGGAAGTCCCCGATGAGTGTTTTTTTGCAAGCTGTTTTCTGCCAGGCTCTGCAGTGCAGCAGAGAACAAGGCAAGGTCTTCACCATCCTGGAGCCCCCATTCAACTGGAGGAGGCAGACAACAGATAAATAAATAGAGCTGAGGTTGGGCTGCAGGAGGTGGGTGGGGTGGGGTGGCAGCGAGAGGAAAAGGATTGAGGTGGGGCATCCGCTTAGACTAGGGAGCCTAAAGAAAGCTCCTCTAGGCTGATGACGTTGACCTCCAGGACAGCAGGACGCAGCCGTGGGAGGATCTGAAGGAGAAGGTGTCAAACAAGTGCACAGGCTGTGAACCCTGTGTGCTGGAGAGGGGTTTGAGATGAGACCCAGAATAAGCTGCTCTTCTGATTTGTACAAAGGCCAAGAAAACATGTTCCTTTTAAGATGTTTTATTATCTTTAATGTCAATCATACATTCGTGGATTCCTTTATCAACAAACAGTATTAGAAGAAGTGGAACCTGCTATGAAAGCAGCCTGGTCCTTGGTATCTGTCTGCAGTTTGGGGCATACCCTTCTCGTGCCCCTTTTCATATTATGTAATTTGGATCACACTCAGTATTCCAGTGGCTATCACTTAGTTTGTGGGTGGATCTTGTTCCCTTTTCACAGCTGCGAAATATTCCACAGCATGGCCAAACCACTATCTTTTTTTTCTTTTAGTCTCCTAACAAGAGACTTTTGGATTGTGTCTGATTTTTTTCCTTTTATCCTCCGTACAATCCATGAATTCACATACATCTTGGTCATGTATCTTTCTGGTCTTTAAATTTTCATTGTCAAAACTAAAATGCCCTTTGCAAAGGCTAATAAGCCAGTTTACTCTCCTACTGATGTTGTCTGGGAGACCACCTCTCCACCCATACTTGCTATTATCTACATTTTCCCTTTTAGCTAATGTGATTGGTAAAAATGATCTCATACTCCTTAAAAAAAAAAAAGTCATCCAGTTTATTCAGGCTTCCAGTTTTTATTGTAATCCATCATTGTTTTTTCCAGAAGACCAAGGTTTAGCAAGTGCTGGCTCTGCCTCTCACTGGTCTCCTGACCACGGCTGGGGACTCAGCCTTCACCCTGCGTGCTCACATGTGAAATGAGGCCCTTTTAATCCCTGCCCCCTGCCAGGCTGCTCCGTGTTGTGCATGGGGAAACATTCCGGAAAGTTCATTTTATGCTGAAAAGCTCTGCAGACATCATGGGTTTTACTAGTGAAAGGAGACTATCTGGAGCCTAGAACACTTGAACGGATGTGAGTGTTTCTAAGCAGCTAGTGTGTCCAGGGGAGGGGCCGGGGTGGCTATAGGTGGGACGTACACCTTGCATCCCTGAGATGGAGGGACCTCATCCAGCCCAGGAGGGTAAAGAAAATTCTGAAGCTGGTCCAAGGAAAGGCTCAGAAAAGGGCACTGATCACCACAGACTGATCCCTCCTTTATCTTTTGTTCAGTCGCTAAGTTGTGCCCGACTCTTTGCGAGATCCCATGGACTGCAGCATGCCAGGCTTCCCTCTCCTTCACTGTCTCCCTGAGTTTGCTCAAACTCATGTCCGTCGAGTCGGTGATGCCATCCAACCATCTCATCCTCTGTCGTCCCCTTCTTCTCCTGCCTTCAGTCTTTCCCGGCATCAGAGTCTTTTCCAATGAGTCGGATCTTTGTATCAGGTGGCCAAAGTATTGGAGCTTCAGCTTAACCATCAGTCCTTCCAGTGAATATTCAGGATTGATTTCCTTGAGGATTGACAGGTTGGATCTCCTTGCAGTCCAAGGGACTCTCAAGAGTCTTCTCGAACACCACAGTTCGAAAGCATCAGTTCTTGGCGCTCAGCAGGAGCTCTCACATCCGCACATGACTACTGGAAAAATCATAGCTTTGACTACAGACCTTTGTTGGCAAAGTGACATCTCTGCTTTTTAATATGCTGTCTATATTTGTCATAGCTTTTCTTCCAAGGAGGAAGGATCTTTTAATTTCGTGGCTGCTGTCACCATCTGCAGTGATTTTGGAGCCCAAGAAAATAAAGTCTGTTACTGTTTCCAGAGGCCAAAGGCTGGGGCTTCTAGAGCGTTGTGGATTGCCACGTTTATTACTTTGGGCCTGCTTGTCTGTTGCCCTCTAATGGGAGGATTTAAGCAAAAGATTGACCCAAGAGCTTTTGTACTTGATGTGGAGTCAGGCGGGAAAACGGTGGGGCCTGATGAAGGAAAGATGGGACCTGGGGCCTCTGGCCCCATAGTGGGGAGGCGGGGGCGCTGGTGGACCGGTGTCCCTGGAGAAATTCATCTTCACTGGGATTCAGGAGCCTGGGGACGTACAGCCAGGCTCTCCTGTCCTTCCCCAAGTGGGCTGTGACATGGCGAGCCCCTGTCTTGGGGAGCAGGCAGCATCCAGGCTTGGCTACAGTTCCCCTGCAGCTGCCTGGGACCTCAGGCCTGGCGGAGGCGTCAGCCTGACCTGGTTGGGACGGCTGCAGAGCCACGGACAGGAAGGTGAAGCGGGGAGGGTGACAGCATGTGAACGAGGGGACAGTGGCTCTCCCAAAAGGCTCCGGTCAGGAGGCCTCCTGCCTTTCTAGCTTTGCAGCCAGTGAGCAGGAGGAGAGGAGGCGGGGACTGTGGCTGCAGACGTGTGTGTGCATTTATTTGTTGTTGCTCAGTCACCAAGTCATGCCGTCTCTTCTGCGACCCCATGGACTGTAGCCGGCTGGATTCTCTGTCCGTGGGATTTCCCAGGCAGGAGTAAGGGAGTGGTCTGCCATTTCCTCTTACAGGGGATCTCCCAGGCCCAGGGATCAAACCTGCGTCTCTTGAATTGGCAGGTAGGTTCTTTACCTCTGAGCCACCAGGGGAGACCTTTTTGCAGTTACTGGGGTTGGGTTTTTCATGGAGGGAGTGGGGGAAGCATCTCACACAGGAGCTGGCCAGGGGGCAGTCAGTGGGGGCAGGGCAAGGCAGGGTTTTCTGGCTAGGTGCCCCCTCACTGCATGCCCAGCCCAGCTCAGAGGGGGCTTTGTGGAGTCAGAGTCAGATTGAGTCCCCAGGTTCAGTTTCAGGCAGCAGGATGGACTGGCCTGTCCATGTTGCAGGAAGTTGCAGCTACTATTTTTACCGCTCCAACTAGGACTTTTTACAGGAAGGTACAATTACAATA